GGTTAGATGTTCAGTTATTTTGGAGAAGGGCTTTTTTGTTGAATGGGGAACTGCAGTGGGTGGTAAGAACTGAAGCTGATGGGAACAATTAGCAGTAGGCTTAAAGGAAGATTTACATGCATACCTCCCAATTCCCATGTATTTAACCTTACCTATGTATGAAAAATTATATTTCGTGCTTTAGAAGTTAATGATATTTTTGTTCTGATATGAAAGATTTAAGTGATATAATTATAAAAACCAAATTTTGTGTTAGATATGGTAGTACATGAGTGGAATGTATGCAAATGTCTCTTCCACAAAATTATGGGTAACAAACATGCTCCCATATGTACTTCTTCCACTTCAAAATGAAATACTTCAATGTGTTATTCTGAATACATTCATGATGTTCTTTTTCCTTGAATTTGAAACCCGCTCTATTCAAGCGAATTCCAAAAGCATTGCTATCAGAATACATCAATTTTCTTTCCCTTATGTTTTTTGTCTAAGGTTATTGATTGCCCTTAGGGCTTTTGCCTTTTTGCCTTTGATGGTTCTTTCTGCTTTTCCCGCTTTTCCGTCTGCTTCTTCTTCGTACTCTTTACTTGGGTCTAGTCCTTCCTTTAATTGGTAACGATTGATTTTTTCGAATCTCCCGGTTCTTCAAACTTTAATCTCTTCTATGTTCCTTTTGTGGACGATAAAGTTTGTTTCATAGATCTTAAAGTAGAAGAAGGATCTAAGAGTCGAAGCCTCTCTTTGGTATGCTATGTCTTGGGAAAATGTCCTTTCTTTGGTAGTATTATTTAGTATACTAAAAGGATTTAAAAACTTAAAGGCACCTTTGATTTTTTGTCCCTTGAAAATTTTTCCACTTTCACTTCGATTTTGTTGAAGATTATAAGCTTGTTTTGTTGGGAGAGCCTTGCTACATTAATGGAAGATTGTGAATTTCAACCGGAGGTGTATATTTCCAAGATTAAGTCGTAAAGTCATTTAAATATTTCAAAAAAGATAAACCATAAAACCTAATCTTCTGTAAGTAGGACAAAGTCAACAAGGTTTGAAAAGATCATTCCCCAATAATGGTCGTGTTGATCATAAATTTCCATCGGAGGGGTTCTCTTATAAAAGTAAAATATTTTAAATCATAAAAAAATAACATTCGAATGAAAATTCTACGTATAAAATTAAAATATTTTAAATCATAAAAAAATAACATTTGAATGAAAATTCTACGACTAAAAAAACTTAAGCAAAATCCATCCACCCTTTGCAACTGTTTTTCGAGGTCGATAAATCTATTGTTGACTCAAGCTCATAAAGAACCAATATCATATCAAGTACTACAAAATTCAAACTCAAAAAAATCTCCTGTCAGTAAGGATGTGATCCGAGTCCTCTATCTACGTGGTTTTGCCGCCAAATGACACCACAAAGAAGCAGTTAGGACCAGAGCCCTCTGACGTCGCCAAAAGATACCATTATATTACGGTTACGACAGCCCGTATATCCCCTAATGACAGTTTGGCCTTCTGATTATTGAATCATAGGGTATCTTTGAAGGGGCAGAAAGCCTCTGTATGTTAAGGTCAACTTATATTAGTCCCCTTAAACAAGCATTAACCCCAGATCTACAAGGTCTCCTTGGACGAAGTAACCCATAGCTACTAACAAGGATACTTTTGTCAGATTGGGTCAACTACCTCCACTGAGCAAGTAGACCAAGGCCCATGACAACCCGAGATGACAAGACCATGAGATCTTGATAGGGTTCGTCGCCATTTCCCCCACCATCAGTTTTAAGTTCACGACAGTGATGGTAACTTATAATTTTAAATTCTCAATTTGTTGCTGCTATATGTTAAGTTTGAATACTTAACGCTTAATGACTAGACTTAATCTAAAGTGCTCTCTCATTATCGTGAGGGATAATTAACCATAGGAGCTTGCGCCTATTAGAGACCTCGAACCCCATATCAAAAAGTCATTATAAAATAATGATGAAATCTCTAGGCTGTGTCTTATCAACTATCTCATTTGCCATCTGAAAATTTGACCTAGAATTTAACACGCTCCTCATTAACCTCTCGACAAGACTCGGAGGTGCTTTTTGAGACCACAGGTATGCCGTCAGAAATGACCGACAAATCAAACTATCGGTAACTTGGAGTTTAAAAGGAGAATTATTATCTGGTAGTAGTTTTATAGGCCATCAAAACGGCTCTCACTTAATTGATAGTCCATCAAACAACCATCAGTTTTCCATCAATAGTTTAACCTACATAAGATAGTCATCGAATATCATGATACATGAGCTCAAAACTATCATAATGTCGTAGGAAAGTCATCAGAAATTTTTAGAAAAATAACTTTCTTTATCATTACAATTTCTACACCTGCAATCGTAACACAAACAAATCCAATGCTAAAACATACATTGTAATTTACAAAGCCAAGCAGTTATTAAACTAAAAAAATAATAAATAACGTAAAAATCAATTAAAGATAAAAAATGAAATACATTAAACCAATAAATAAAAATATTCATATAAGAAAAAAGATGTTCACACTAATTGTTTAAACTAAACAGATAGAAATAAGAATTTCTCCCAATCTTCCGCAGTCTTCTCAACATCTTTTTCCTACCAATGGCTGCTAAACAGATAGAAATAAGAATTTCTCCCAATCTTCCTCAGTCTTCTCAACATCTTTTTCCTAAAAAATCATCACCAATTGGCTGCTTTCCTCTTTGTTATGCTAGATGCCAGAATGCATCAAATTTTGATTTCATTTTAGTCTCAATCTTTGACCTCATCTTGGTGAGTTGGACACAAATTATGGTCTCAATATCTATGGTGAATGCGACAACCTTTTTACAAACCTCGTCCTCGTAGGTAGTAGAAGTGGATGCCCTAATGCGTTAGAGGAGGGACAAGTGTCATAGATCGTGCTTAAGGCCCCAATCTAATGACCCGACAACCTTCTTCTTGCATCTATCAACCTCCCTCTATAGCTCGTACAAAGACGAATCATGTCCTGGGATCGTAAGACCGCCTGATTGCTGGGTTCGGCTCTCCTTTAGTTTTTGGAAGACCTATAATAAAATTGTTTAAAAAAGTGTCAGTTTGGTTTTTTGACATAGTGCTTTGAATGTCAAGAAGGTTTAAAGATTTGGTTATTTAAATAATCAAACGAATCATTAGAAGCGGCAGACCATCCCGAAAGATAAAAGTACGACTTCACGATTGGTTCGATTAATTAAATTAAGAAATGTTGGATATTTGCTTTGGTCTATGATTAAACCGATAAATGTTTCCTCTATCCAATATGAGGATTAGATAGGGTTTAGATTAAATATGGGTCCTTCAACTTCATATAAAGGCAAACCCATATAGTTAATTACATCTTAAGCAACCGAAGTTACATTATAAAACTCCCCATTAAAGTTGTGATTTTGTCATCAAGAAATTTCTAAGTTTAGGTTTTCACGATTGGACATTAGATTTCTAAATGTGAATGCTTCAAAATTGAAAATTTATTATCGGAATATAAGGGAAGAAAAAGGAAGGACATGTGAAAGATAATGAGCAACTCAGTGACATCTTTAAGAAGAATTCAAACTTTTTTTAAGAAGAATTCAAGGAATTGATGTTGTTTATCTCAAGTTTGAATGTTGATAATTTAATAATAAAGAGTAATTATGAAATTAAGTAATTTTTTTCATGTTTAGTGACTCAATTAGGTCCTAAAATTAGGATTGCTAAGTCAAATATTCTGTTTTAATTGAATTTCAGGAAACAAAAGGGATAATCATACAAAATTAGCAAATTACAAATTTGCCCATCATAAGTAAAATTGTTTTCTTAAATTCAGAGTTTGAAAATGGTCAATTAATTATGAAAAATTAATGTATTAATTTTCCCTATTAATTTCCATTTATGTTCATAATTTTTTGATCAATTTATTTATTATTATTATTTCTCAAAAAAATTATAATTTTGATAGAAAATTAGAGTTTATAGTGTTAGGCTGTCCTTAGAAAAATCAATAGAAATTTCTGGGGATAGTGAGAATAATCCATCAAATTTTTATAATTTTTAGTCATATATTTAATTTTTAATAATTAAAATACCCTATAAAGTATTTAATTAATTCAAAAAAATATAAGTTAATTAATTTTTTTATTTTTATTATTTCTCTTCTGTTTGCTGAGTTTAATGATATTTTTATTTATTTTTGTGATTTTTTTTATAAGGATACCATTTTTTAAAGTTTATTTGAATTTTCTATATTTAATTAGCTCGGATAATTCAAATTTATTATTTAAACACGCGACGCTAACTGTATAATCAGAGTCATCAAAGTTCCATGCGACGTCTCCCAGTTCACTCCGCTTTCCACGCAGGAGGTGAGATGGCACGCGTTCGGCTGCCCTGCTCCGCAAGATTTCCCCCTCCAGCTAGATCACGAGCATTCATTTCAAATATCAGGGATCCAACGGTGCTCCTTCATCGTCCCCAACATGCCCTAAAACTAGCCATTGTTGTACCAAAATAAAATTGAATAAGTATGAAGGTATCTTAAATCATGATTGAACAGTTTGACATCTTGCTCACCTAAGTCTCAATCTAAATCTAAATATTTCTTTGATTGCTCTGTTGTTATGATGTTTATTTTGACTCTATCATTACTCTATTTGATTAGTTCAGCTCAAATTTCATGTGAACTTCTCTTCAACTGTCCTCCTGATGCAACATATATCTTCATTCGATCCTTATTGTGTACATGGCAGCAATACATTCTCTTCCTAAATATTCTCAACTAAATAAGACTAAAACAGAAAAGAGGAAACAACAAGAATGAAGAGCACACATTTTCCATCAACTTCCCAACAACTAGCGTGAAACATACACGAAAAGCAAACTAATTTTACATTCTTTCTAATCTCCATTCCCTCCCCATCTTCAGCATTATAAAAACTACCAAATCATTCCCTCTAACCAATCCATCCAAACTGCATTCCAATCCTCCCTTCCCTTCAAACCATGGCATCCACATCAGTTATCTTCCTAGCAGCATTGGCCATCATTATGAGCTTTGACAAATGTGTCACTGCCCGCGAGCTCCTCGTCACGCCGGCAGCATCTATTGCTCCGGCAATCCCACCAATTCCAAGCCAACCAAAGCCAAAAATTCCGGGCATTCCAGCAATTCCTAAGATCCCTGCTACCCTGCCTCCATTGCCAGCCATTCCAGTAAGTACTGGAATCCCAAAGTTCAGCTTCCCTCCTTTGCCTTCTCTTAATCCTATAATTAGTCCTTTCATTCCTAAGATTCCTAAATTTCCCTCCATTCCCTTCCTCACTCCACCTCCTTCTGCAACTACTCCATGATTTTCTGTTGGTGTTTTGGAATTGAGTGATTGGGTTTTTAGTTTATTACTTGTTTGTATTTTAGTTCATTTGCTTGTTAATAATTCGGTGTGATTGGTTTGGTTATGTATCATTTGAATGTACCAGTTGTAAGACTTGGCTTATTTTGTTATTTTATAATTGCGGTCTACAATACAGGTATCTGTAGGTTTGGAAGTTTAGCTCTGCTTTGTTTATCGAATCATGATGTAAATATACATCGATAACATCGATATATGATAATTGTGATGATAATTGTGGCAACACAACTATAAAGAGGAATTGAGCAACACTGTGTAATTGAACATCATGATGTAAAGCACCTAAAATCTCATATTTGCCCAATGAAACAAAGCATTAACTAGGGGTGTAAACGAGCCGAACACGTGCTGAGCCTGTAAACGAGGCTCGCTCTTGTTCGGCTCATTTATATTTCGAGCTCAAAAAATGTGTTCGTGTTTGATTTGTTTGTTTAGCGAGCCGAACACGAGCTGTTCACGAACATAGAGTCGTTTTGACAATACAAATCACCTAGCCATAAACTGTTAAGGGTTGGGGCCTGATTTAAAAATTATTATTTATATCAAAACATCATTTGAATCTAATTTAATAATTTTTATTATATTTTCTTAATTAATACTTTTAACTAATTATAAATCTTTATAGCCTTGTAGTCAATTAAATTTTTTAAGAAAATGAATCTTTAATTTTTACTCATCAATATATATA